CCAGTCATGTTTCAGACCTATTGAATGAGAGGCAAACACTGTAACTCTAAACTCTATAGGGACCACGATCAGAGCCCCCCCCCCCAGAAAAACGTGTATTATTCGCTAGATCTAGCAAGGTTTAACAATGTTTCGTCCTCCAAAGTTTAACAATGTTTCGTCCTCCAAGGTTTAACAATGTTTCGTCCTGGCATGACGGGACGAACAGTAACTAGGCTAATCGACTGCACTGTCGCATGTGTTGTGAAGAATTAGAGGAAGGAATGTGTAGAAGCAAACATTATAATATGTCTATGCTATGATAATAAGGCCCAAGGATAGATCTAGATTCTAGATCTAGATCAGGTCCTAGTAGACCCACTAGGCCCGCTACATTAGGCCCTTCTAGACCTAGAATCTAGATCTAGATCTAGATCTAGAATCTAGATCTAGTTCTAATCAGGACCTGGACACTGATACTAGATCTAGATCTAGATCTACAATCTATTATCTAATCTAGATCTGGATCTAGATCTACATCTATATCTAGATCTATATCTCTAGGATTCTAGATCTAGGTCTAGAGTCCAGGTATTCTAGATCTAGATCTAGATCTAGATAAATCTAGATATCTAGTTAGGCCTAGATCTAGTCTGAATAGATAAGCCTAGATCTAGATCTAGATCTACACATGAGAAAAACGATATTAAATAAGGTTAATGAAAAAGTACATGTGCAAATTCTTACATTTCAGGGTCCTTTGGAAAGCTAAAGAATGCTAGGTCTGGTAATTGTGCGATCTTGAATTGGCACGGACGCAGACTGTCGCAAAACACCAGTTACACTTGCGGGTGACTTGCGACTGCCGACAGCCGCCATTAGCTTTGTTTACCGCGCCTCGTTTCACGATCAGCTGGTGGCCTAGATACGCGAAAAGAGGCCTCGTTTCCAGTCTCTATTTTTAGAGTCTCTGATAATATGCATAAGGGCGATCACTCAAATATTTTTTTTTTCTGAGGAAGCCGTAGGCCTAGCAGAGAGTATTAAATTTTAATTATATTTTAGTGTCTCTGGCCGTAAGCCTAGGCCGACATTTTTCGAGCCCTTCGAAGTTCGAAGCAAACTGTGCTTTGTCGTGGCCTAGAGGGGGTGATATTCATCTCTCATTCTATAGGTCCCGTGTTCGAATCTGGGTAGCGACGGAAAATTTTCTACTCTAAATTTTTCTCCTTTTTACATCCTGTCCTGGTCTCTAACAGTCGTCTGCTTTCGTCTCCACTTCTGTTCCCACCCCCTCACCTCCTTTTTTTGCCCCCTCCCCTCGGCTCCTGACTCTTTCTGCTTCTCCTTGGCTCCTTAAATTCTTACTGCTGTCTTTCAGCCACACCCCTGATCTTATGGTAGGAAATATCTTACTTACTTACTTACTACCGATTACGCCATCTGGCGTTTAGGTCAGCAACAATTTTAAAGGATCTCCAGCTCTGTTTTGGGCCATCTTGGTCAGCGTTCCCCACGAATGATTCCTCACGGCTTTCACTGCCAGCATTCATACGAGTCCCAATTATGGACTCTGAAGGTCCATCACACACAGAAATATGGTTTCTCTTTATTTCTGTTTCCCTAACATATATGCTTTTTACCAGTCTGTGTTGTTAGCCCTGAGCTGAACCCCCGAAACCTGGAGGGCCGGTGGATCACGCTTCGTCTGACCTCTACCCGTCGACCTGTCTGGCATGGGTGGCCCTATCAGGAGCATTAGCTCCAGCCAGCGTAGCTCTTGGAGTCACTGAGGCACACAAGCTCTCTAACCACAACAAGGTAGTGATCCACTAGAGAGGGGAAATATCTACACCTAGCTTTCTCGGACAAGGGCGAAAAATCTCGGAGGACCCGTGTGCAAGTTGCGCAGGTTAAAGATCCCTTGGTGGTCTAAAATCGAAAAGAGTAGGCTTCGGCCGCCACCCGGGCGAAATTCAAAATTTCCTACAAACTGAAAATGTTTGGCGTGTCCTGCGCGCTCATATGACCTTATGCAGTTGCGAGCGCCGTAAAACAGAGTTACCAGAGAGAGAGAGAGAGAGAGAGAGAGAGAGAGAAAAAAATAAGTGTGTTTAGAGAATTGGGGGGGGGGGGACTTTCGTTTTGCCCGG